AATCAATAAATATTTTAAAGTGTAAACAAATTATTGAGCATAGAATCATACAACTTTAATAGTTGAAAAGGCCTTGCAAGTCATGTAATTCTGTGTCCTATCTATTGTAAAAATTGTTTCAATAACATCTCTGGGCAGCACATTTGTGACCTGGAATCTAAGATGGGGGGTGGGGAGAAAAGCTCTTTGACTTGAATGCCAAGTAATTCTGAGTATGTATCGCTTTAAAGAGGTGTTTGTTAGTACATAGATCTGGTAGGTAACATTGTTTGACAGAAGTAGATCAAAAGTAATCTGTGCCATTACTTCACCATCACTTGCAACACAATTCCCAGTTGTAAGAAAGCTAATTTGTAACCTATTAACAATAATTTCCAATGCCTTTAAAAAGATATGAGCTACTAAAAATACCTATTACTTTTGGGCTCAAAATTGAATAGGTTTTTCAGCTTTTAAAGACCTTTTTAAAGTATGACATAGATGGACATAGACATTTTATTGTCATTTACTCAACAAGTACAAACAGTAAAGGCCTACTCTATGCTGGTCACTCTGCAGGGCCCTAGGAGGACAGAGAAGGCAGAAAAGACATGTTTATGGAAAAGACAGGTTTATGGAAAAGACAGGTTATCACCCAAAGAATTACAAATTTTAAAAAGTGCTATAAAGGCAAAGTACAAGATGCTCTGAGAACACGTAATAGGGAAAACAACTGATCTAGCCTGCGACTAGAAGGATTTGCAGGGGGAGTGATGCTTCCTTCGGCTGGGAACTAAATGGTGGCCATTCACATTTATGTAAAAACAGGTCTCCATAAAATGAAAGGGTTGGTTCAATAAGCCCAACTACCTTTGGCATCTGTATCCTAAAACAACCTTTTAAAAAAAAAACACAGCCACTAGAGCAGTGGTTCTCAACCTGTGGGTCGCGACCCCTTTGGTGGTCGAACGACCCTTTCACAGGGGTCGCCTAAGACCATCCTGCATATCAGATATTTACATTACGATTCATAACAGTAGCAACATTACAGTTATGAAGTAGCAACGAAAATAATTTTATGGTTGGGTCACAACATGAGGAACTGTATTTAAAGGGCCAGAAGGTTGAGAACCACTGACCTAGTATAATTATTATCATGTTAGTCACTCAATCTTTGTTGAAATTATTAATATCAGTATTAAACCAATGTTTAAATTACCTTTAGTTAAGCAACATAAATTCATAAAACTACATCTCCTCACACAAGGAACCCCATTTCAAACCACTTCGATTGTGAGATGATGCTTTCATCTACCTCAGAGGATTGCTTTCAAGATTCAATGAGATGCCCTGACCGGTTCGGCTCAGTGGATAGAGCGTTAGCCTGCGGACTGAAGGGTCCCAGGTTCGATTCTGGTCAAGGGCATGTACCTTGGTTGCGGGCACATCCCCAGTGGGGGGTGTGCAGGAGGCAGCTGATCGATGTTTCTCTCTCATCGATGTTTCTAACTCTCTATTCCTCTCCCTTCCTCCCTGTAAAAAAAAAATCAATAAAATATATTTTTTTAAAAAAAGATTCAATGAGATAATATACGCCAAAATGCTGGGGTAAATTCTGAAATGCTCAGAGTATATGGCATCCTTGTGACTAAAAAGCTTGATCAGTCTCTTCTCATTAGGACAGTGTTTTAGATTCAGCTGTTTCCTTTTCCTTACCATAAGAAAGCCCTAACACAGGTGTGCACGTGCTCTAGCCTTGGTTTTCTCTGAGGTGGTGAGGCTGCACAACCTCTGAGGTCCTTTCTAGCTCTAGAACCTGACCTGTCAATGTTTTAAAAGGGCCAAAATTACAGCTCTCAGCTTAGATGTTAGACTACCTCCTCATCCACTCTCTTCCCCACGACTCCATACTTCCTTTCAGGAAGTTTTTTTAAAGAGTCCTATTTTTACTTATCTTATAAGCAGATTTAAGTTGAATGTATTCATCCAAATCAGAACTTCTGAATGAGCTGAAAAATTGTTGTGAAACTTTATACACCCCAAAGAAAAAAAAATTTTTAAAAATGGTCAAAATCACCAACTGTCAAAAACAGATTTACAACTCCTAACCCCAAAAAGTAAATTTTGGCCCCCGCCAGTGTGGCTCAGTGGTTGACTGTCGACTTATGAACCAGGAGGTTATTGTTCGGGTTCCATCTCCAGTAGGAGGTGTGCAGGAGGCAGCCAATCAATGATTCTCTCATCGTTAATGTTTCTATCTCTCCCTCTTCCTTCCTCTATGAAATCAATAAAAAGAATATTTTTTAAAAAGTAAATTTTGGTTTCTGATTAAGGAACACTATCTGCCCTATTTTAAAATCAGAAAACAGTCACAAAAACAATCACTTGTACTCAAGAAATAATAAATGCAAACTCATTCATGAAAAAAATGTAATTATAATGGCTAGACAAGAGTTGAAATGTCTACCAAATAATGTAAATGTATTACAAGATATTACCACATGAAAATGAAATTTTACAAAAAAATTAAAGTGCCCAAATAAATTATGGGGCTAAAGGCAAATTTACATGTTCAAGATTTTGTCTTGTTTAAAATAATGTTTTGGTGTAGTTTTGAAAAGCTCTCCTAGTTTTACCCTTCACTGAGTAGTATCCCACTAAGAGAGAACGCTGTTTCCATACTTCCGGGCAAGAGACCTGTTTTTACGATGCAAACAGGGGCTACCTGATCCAGATAAGGTTTCCCACTAGAATGCTTCAGAAATAATATATGTTCAAAGAAAACTTTAACAAAACAAAAAAAGGTAATACCCTTTTTTACAATAGTAATTGCTAGAAAACTGAGTTTTTAAGCACTTGCTTATTTTTATACAAGTGTTAACTTAAAATTCTAAACTTATCTCCAGAGAAAAGGCTGACTTGTTCAGTCCTATCAATGTCAGGAGAGCAGCTCTCTGTTTGACAGTTACTCTTACTGCTTATTTACATCTACTGAGTGTTTCAGGGCTTTAAAGTTCATTCCAGTCATGATACTATAAGTTAAATGTGTGTATTACACCATTCTCTTTTTAAAGAGGTGCAGACGGAGAAGTAAAATAACTCATCCAAGGTCAGTGACAAAGCTGGGATTAGGACTAAAACTTCTGTTCCTAGACTACCAATGACTTCACACTCTCCCAATTCCAAGAGAGAAAAAATACAGTCAAGCGACTTATTGTCAGTCACTTGTCACCGCATATCTCAAACACAGTGGTACACTTATAAACTCTCAACAACAAAAAGATTCACCTTGAACAAGTAAGACAACTTGCTCCATTTAGATACAGTACTGTCATCCCTCCTGTTCTGGATGCATTAAATCTCAGAGTCCATCCACTCTTCAAGATGCACCATTTACTTGCACACGAACCGCACGTTGATAAGTTAACCGGCCACCGCCTCTCCCCACGCCCAGGCGCGGTGGGTGCGCTCATTTCCTCCGTCTTCCGAGAGTCCAGCCAAAGACCACCCACCTCTAAAGCAGTTCTCCACGAGGACCAGGTTACGTTGCTAATGAAAGAAAAGCTCCTACACTAAGTTGCTTCTTTTAAAGAGGTATTTTTAAAGGATGATGACATGCTTCGCGGAATGACGGTGAAGTCGCCCGCCAAGAATGGTTCCTGTCAAGTCGCTTCTAAGGCACGGCCAGCCCTCCCCGGGTGGGACACAGCCTGACTTGCTGGGCGCGGCTGATCCGGGCACGCTCTCACCGAACCCTTGCGGACCAGCCCGGTTCGCTGCAAACGTCACCTGGACCTCGCCCTGGGCTCGCTGGCCACCCCACACGACCAGGCACAAGCGGACCCCCTGCAGCATCCTCTCCTCCGAGGAAGGCTCCGCCGGCGCAGACCGTGACAGCGGCCCTCCCTCGGGGGCTCTGCAGGGAGCGAGTGTTGACACCAGAAGGAGAGGCTCCGAGGAAGTGTCAGTGCGGCGGCAGGTGAAGCAGCCCGTCGCGCCGGGCGGGTCCCTTCGGACCCGGGACTCCGGTCCTC